TTCGTAAAATCAACTGTTAATAAGTAATTTCACCGTCTTACTAAACTAGGAGATGCATCGGATAAACTGTACACATGTGAAGGCTTTTTCTGATAGTGAAGGTTCAATCTCAGAACAACCAATCCAGAAGCGTTTGAAACGAAAAAAATCAGGGCTACTAATTCAATATAAATATAAGGAAAGCCGATCCATGGAACCACTACTTCAAGTTCTTCACCTTAGCACTGAGAAGAAACTTCGTAAAATTACTAAATACAAAAATCATTGTAGTCTACAGAAATATTGTAGCTGAAGAGGCATGATCAAATACCAAATGATGATGAAAATGGTACGTGCGGATTATGTTTCTATAACTTCACTTCTCTACTTTAATTTAACTTGTATCTCAGTTTGGACGACACTGAGTTCGTTGTAATTACAGATGTAAAATTGGCTCTTTAATGGTGAAAAAACCCCTTTAACGAGTACTGGGAAAATCTTAAAGAAAGGCTTCAGATAAGCGACGCCTGCTCGATAAACACAGGACTTCCACTAACTTCTTCCTAAAACGTGAAACACGCTTCAGCTTAACTTTAAACAAGAACTTTACAACTGGCAAGACTGACTGTCTTGCATAAATACGATCAAATACGGCCATAACGTCAGTTAGTCAGTAAACAGTTTGTTAATATTAATGGAAAGGTGTATATTGTGCCAGATAATTTGACATAGATTATGTGAAAAAACACACTGGAAAATGGAGAGATGCTATTCCGGAAGCAGCAAAAAGATAACCCTAAGTTTGGCTTCCATATCACTTCACGTAGAATTACCAAGCTGGCTCTTGACAACTACCATTATGTAATGCTAATAACTTAAAGTGTACAAGTGCATGCAAACTGCCAACTTGTGGAAACGTCATTGAAGAAAAGGAAGAAGGAGCAGATGTTAGTGTATATGAAACTTTAGAAAGTAACGAAGGGGTTGATTTAGTTTTCATTAAATGTTAGGAGATAAAAAAAATTCCGTTCGTTTACTTCATGCATTAGTGTCGATTGTTGATTTTGTCGGAAATTTAGTTATGACAATATTGTAGCACACACAAAAGCTTTCATTTAAGAAAATGATGAAGTCGGACCAATATAGTTCTAAAGATAGGTATAGTTGATTTTATAAAACTCAACACCCGCCATCTTGGATTGGCCGCCATTTCTATTAGCTACCACTTTGAGATGGTAGTTATGGTTTTTTTACATCCTAATATATGTGTCTCACCGTGGTAAAAAGGAAAATTGGTACCCCCAAATTATACATACAATTTCCTTAAATTTAGCCAGTTGGCCCATAGACTATTAGTCGAGTTCAGAATATTGTTCGTACCCTGGTTCCGAGGCGCACCATATTATGGTAGAAATGTCGAATATATTTTTACAAGAAACGCAAAAGGGCATATCCAAAAACCTAGGAAAAGTAGAGTTCCCGAGAAGAAAATTAAAATAGAAACGCAAATTTGGACATTTTTGGAGGCGTAACTTGGCCGAAACATTCGGTTTATTTGGAAAAAATGCTGGTTATCTGATGAGATCTGTGATGAAATAAATAATGAAGTCTTGCACGTATTGAATGATAAATAGTAGTAATTAAGGATAAAAAGGAATGTAATTTAACATGGCATCAAAAGGCAACATGACAGTAGTGGCGTAGCATGCCCAAATGGCGCCTAGGACGAGCATTAAAATTGAGCCCCTTCGTAAATTACCTTAATATAAAACGAAACGAAGAATCGTATACGATTTTCAGTAGCGGAATTATTAAGTGCACCGCTCGAACCTAATAAAATCCACAGATTAGACGATATCCGATTTGCTAACAAACGCAGACCCTTCCTAACTCTTCTCACACTTCGACTTATTTCTAGTGCCAAAGTAGGCCGCATCATCAGTACAACTATTTGAGAAGCCGCTGCTCAACAACACATAACCTGTCCATAGGTCCATAGCCCCAACGTTCGATTTTCCTTCGGGGACTCCCAAACATTCACGGTATTCGGCGAGCAACGTGTTCAAAATGTTTGGGAAAAGGTGGGGGGGGGGGGGGTTGTATAGAATACTCCAAGCCACACAGCGATACTCGATAATTCCTTCTGTATTTCCCTTAGCACTGCCATGGAAATTTTTGAAAAAAGGTAATCGAATCTTCGTTTACTGGCGAGGTATGGACTGGGGAGTATCCAGATCCCCCGGTAGTGCGTTTTCTGTCGTACCTCTTAGAAGAAGAGGATATGGATGAATTATTTCTAAAAACTGTTGTGTTTTGAGGGCACAACGTTTTATTGGGGGAGGTGGGGTGAGCGTAGCTCTGGGGGGTCTGTCGTAGGCCCAGTGTATACGCTGGTTTCAGTGCCATTTGAATAAATTTAATGAAATTACTTCAAATAGTACAGAATATTCGCATATCTCAAAACTACTGCGTTAATCAAATACAAACCCCAATAAATCCAATCCATAATGAATTATTCCTGCAATCCAATAATGATCAACTACGTGAATTGAAAAGAATGCGAAAATTAATCAAGTGGATCAGGCAACCTGACCGTAGAAGTACAACTCAAAATATAGCCTCCCAAAACTCGGAGAAAAATACCCCGTCTGAATTAAATCGGGGATCCACAAAATATAAGTTTAATCGCCAGAATAATTATAATGAGAAATTGCAATTAGAACATAGCGGTTTTCACTTTTCAGTTTACCTAACATGCAGAACTAAGGTGTGCTCTCGGGTGAGCTTGTACTAAATTGCCGGAAATCAGAAGTTGAAAACCAAAGAAAGCGCCCAGGAGTGCACAGGAAGTCCACCGACAGGTGACGCCACCAACGTCATAACAGTTACAATTTCGGTATGCCGGTGAATCTCAAACAATTATTTACAGTGACTATCAATCAAGCACATTAGAAAATAAATTGTTACAATTATTGATAACAAAAAAAACAGCATAAAGGAAACGCTTACCAACACAACCACAAAAATCAAGTTTATGGGTAAAATATCCGGACAATTTTTCATGAAAACTGGTGTCTCCTAGGGTGTCTCTGACCCACTTCTCTTTCACCTAGTCCTGGAGAAAGTTATCGAGAAATTTTGGAATTCACAGACGGACAGTTACATAAAATGCGTTTTCAAAAGAGCCTATGGAAAAGAAATGTCTGTCAACATACCAAAATTAGACACTACAACACTGTAATAAACCCTGAAGCCCCGTATTCCAGTGACACACTTACGCGGTGTAGAAAAGGTGACTTGGAAAATATCTTGAATGAAGAAAGGAAAATTCTTGAACCGAAAATGGCTACTAAATACTTACTACTAATATCACAAAAAAATAACAGACCTGGCAGCGAAAACCCCAAAAAGATTAAAATTCTACCAGCCGATTCGATCTGGTCTATCGACCGCATTAAAATCACTCTGGAGCGATGTAAATAAATGAAACTACGTTTCGAGCTACGTTTAGTCTTGACTATTTATAGATTTGTCAGGCTGCGCTGTTCAAATTGCGCCCTGTTACTTTTAGTTCATCACCATAAAACATTTTGATACGCGGATAACTGGCTCATTGGATCTTAGGTATAACAATGACACCTTTTTAGCCAGAAGACTTTTGCTTCTTAATAATGAATGCTGAATTTTATAATTAATTCAAAAAGAACATGCTTAAAAGGTTCTTGAGACATATGCCTGATTTCCTTCAAGTGCTCTATAAAATTCCGGTTTCAATTTGATTTTGGGTTCATGACGCTAATAAACCCCCAAGTATGAATATGAAATTAATGAAAATGGATAGAGGGCACCTTAATAACGCGTTTTGAATAAAAAAAATTTGCGGAAGAAGCCCTAAATTTCCCACAATCTTAATTAGAAGTTTACTTCATTTATATTTCGTCATTCTCAAGTTGTCGAAACTGAAAAATTTTATGTGACAGCTAATTTTTGTAGTTAATGTAATAAAAGTAGTATAACATGTATAATATACATATACATATACAATACAATCTTAGGTTTCTTCCATGTCACATGTGGATACGCTTTAATAACACCACTTTTCGAAGCATATACAGTCTAAACTAGAATGCGTTAGGGAAGATGAATGTCGTAGGTTACATGTTGCATCTGGCAAAGATCGACTTCTCTGTATCAATCACCGATAGGGGAAACCCGGGCACTTCCTGCATGTTTCATATACCAATTCGTTCGTATCGACTGCCGATTAACTTGGAACGCTTTTTTCGTATGAATCGCTGCTTAGCATCCACCGCCTTATACAGTCGAGAGGGCAAGGAATATCTCATGTAGAGAACTACTTACTGCCATTATGGTATAAATAAACACATGTTAATAGTTGTATATTATTAAATGGTGGAAAAATAACATAACCTCTTAAAGAAATTAAAGTTGGCACTCAGGAATGTTAAGAACACCACTACCAACTGAAAAACAATCATGAAATATTGAATGAACTTTCGATGAAATGAATTGAACTTTTAATTAAGATTGTGGAAAATTTGGGGCGTCTTCCGCAGATTTTTTTATTGAACACGCCCAGTTAAGGTGCCCTCTATCCAGTTTTATTAATTTCATGATCGTACCTGGGGGATTATTAGCGTCACGCAATCTTGATTTTCTCGTGTATTTCCTCTGAATAAAAAGAATGGTAATAGATATATGTATAGATTTCGGGTCTTTTGCAATGACCATCAAAAAGTGTTTCCAGAAAAGCAGTTTTTCTATTCTCCAAACAAAAAAATCTTTTCCCACATTTGTTTGCAATTCACATATTAAACTACCACCTGTACTGTTCGCATAATTTTATACACATCGAAAACTCCAGCGGAGACCATTTATGGGACCGCCCGTTGCATTTTAAATTATTTATTAACATTTATCTCCAATAATACTCTAATTAATGAGCCGGTAACTTTCAAGTTCTTATCGTCGCTATCTTATCTATTCTGTGTATGAACAATTACTTAGAAGAAATTGTCTAAGTCAGCCTGTACGGCGTCAGGGTGAGTTTTTCCTAGTATTTTCTGGGCATGGATGCTTAACCGGACGCTCCGATGGTTTTCCCAGACAGTCTCGTGAGCCAGGGCGCTAAACTTTTTTTGTTTGCGCATCTCGGTGTTAGAGGCGTGTACATTTCACCTTGTCAAAATGAGATCATATAATACTTGTGAGACATTACGGTAACCACAAGTGCACCACATGCGTCATTGTAAACATGTACTTACCGTGTAAGTTTTCGCTTCCACTCTGTATTTAAATTGCACTCCTGTTTCAGGCGTAATCATGCCAGAAACCCAAGCACCGGCACCGACAAGCACGCGAATCGTCACAGAAGATCGCCCACTGCCTCTATCCCGTCGAGATTTTCCGCTTCCATCACCAAGTGGAGGACCACGAGGCTCGCTGACCAGTCGGAGTAACCCCAACTATGAACCCCACATCAACTTCCACCACCCTTTCTCGACGGGCAGTTCCGGAATGTCAAACATCGATCTATCGACCACCATGAGCCACCATCGCGAGTCATCCGCGTTCGTTCCGGTCGTGCCCACAAGAAACGTGCATCCAGTGCTCTATCCGGGAGAAATCCACCCTCTTATGAGCGCCGAGCTCATGCGCGAGAATCGCGAACGCGGCGAGTCCAATAAAAGAGGCGAAGGTTCGTCGGGCGGCGGCGTCGCCACTTATTCGGCGGTACGCAAGACGCCAAGTTTCGACATAATGGCAATGATGGCCGATAAGAGGAAGGAGCTGCAGCTACGCGAAGAGGCCGCGTGCGTCGCGGCGGCGGCCGCACACGCCGCCGCCCTCATGTTACCCCACAGACCGGGCCCGCCACCCGGTATCCTCGAGGGTAGCTCGAGCACCCAGTCTCATCCCTATCCCGGATTCTTGCCGAGCAACACCGCGAGCGCGAGTTTTCCTTTTCCCGGCGGCGGCGGGTTGTTTCCGCCCAGCGGGCCCCAAATGCACGCGCACCTCGACCGAAGGCTACTGCGAGCCCCAGGTCGTGCTTCGAGACCGAAAAAGCAGTTCATCTGCAAATTTTGCAACAGACAATTTACGAAAAGTTACAATTTGTTAATTCACGAAAGGACGCACACGGACGAACGGCCGTACTCGTGCGACATTTGTGGGAAGGCCTTCAGACGACAAGATCATCTCCGAGACCACAGGTAAGCGAACGTTTAATCATATACAGGACGTAAGTGATAATTACACGGTCGCGCAAATCAGAGTACCTAGGTGCCAAAGACGGATGTAGCGATCGACGACGAAACGTTTTCCAATTATGAGAATTAAAAGTCGATGAAGTTAATGAATATTTATAAGTTTCGTGGTATTTATATAATGTTAATAATAGACACACGATTCTGTCGAAGTTATTGTTATTTATTGTGGTCAGTGAAAACCATGAACCACACCTTCCCTTCGTAGGAACATAACGTAATTATATCTGCTTCGCATTTTTAATATCAACCATACATTCTCCACTGAATGCTAATTTTAATATCTTAGTCATGTCGTGATTACTTCACACAAATTACTAGAAGTTAAACTTTCTTGCCTAATTAAAAATTAAATTAAACCGCTCGATGTCATAAACTCCGGGTTATTGGGGTTTTTATTACCTTCCCCCCACTTTCGTAATTTTGTTAAGCCAAAGCCATGGAATTTTTAATTAGCTCGCGCCGGGTACTATCGTCTAAGTACCTACTGCTAAACGCTTATATTACTTTTATTGATGTCAAGGATTAAAAAATCACCTATTCTCTTATCTTAATTTGCTTATCCCACGCAATTTCATAATTGCCCCTCGAAAGTAACTAAAATTACATCTGTATTATTTTGCGCTGCAGTAAACTGCCGAAAATTCGCTACCTATGCAGGGTGTAATAATTAATGCGTTTTTTTTCAAATAAACTGAGGGTTCAAAATGCTCCAAAATTTGTGTATCCTACAGACTATACGAGAGTATACCATTAACTGCTTTAACCAGGGTTTTGGATATGCCCAATTTTTATTTCGACTTACCCCCAAGATGGCGCACGTCTAAACTCAAATTGTGTTCTAGATGACATTTTATCTAGGTACGTGTGAACATACAAATAACGATACGTTTCGGCTACACTATTTGGCACAACCAAAAATTTAAGAAGAATCTCATATTTTGGAACTCATCAATCTTCAGATTATCTGGAAAAAAAGGCTCGTTTGGGTTTCTATGGCGGCCATTTTCCTATTTTCGACACTTTTATGGGGTATTACAGTAATTGTTAGTGCCATCAAAAAAGGTAAAATCATAATTTGAAAGTTTTCGCTCACTTATACAATACGGGAGAACATTAAAAAAATGTCAATTTCAGAATCACCCTATATTTTCCTAGGTACAAGATGTTCCCTTAGAACATAAAAGAGTTTACAGTGTAATTCACACCAGCCACACTTGAAATTCTTACTGGTCTTGTGTATCAAAAAAATTATTTTTTAAAAATTGGATTTGTACTTGGTGACAAAATCACACCGGTCACATTTGAAATCCTTGGCAGGTCCATGTCCTGACCATTGTTAGATGTTAAGATGTGTTTCAAGACTGGATTTATGTTTGGTAACAGAAGCGCACTGGTTCCACTTTAAAATCTTTGGTGACATAGTATGTTAAGTTGTTGCGTAGTCACACTGGACACATTTTAAATACTTGGCCGTGTGTTAAAATGCTATTGCGCATGTGCGGTATTCTACTTACGGTGCAAAATATATCTGTGTTAGGTATGTTGGCACAGACACTCGTTATTGAAAGTAAATGGGAAACTATATCTATGTACAGGGTGTTTGTTAAAATACGCGGAAAAAATTAGAGAGGTTATTCCTTGGACTATTCTAAGGATATTTAATATTTAGATGATTTTTGAAAACGGCTTTGTTGCGAAGAAAAGAGCGTTATCTTAGCAGTGGCGTAACTACAATGCCTCAAAGGTACGCAATGAGGCCGAGCCCGAGCAAAAATCGTATAAAAAATTTAATTTGTTTATAAAAAATTCTGAAAAAATTTCCCGAACTCCTTCAATGGTATGCTTCTATTAATTATTTACATATTTTCCGTTACTAAAAGAAGAGATAAAACGTAAAAAGCTGGCTAATGTTTTATTTACGAAGGGCCATGCATATGCTTCCTTTTACAGTTTACAGTTACAGCCCGAAGAAAATTCTGAATCATTGTTCACGGAGGGTAAATATAGGAGAAAAATCTGGAACAGTATCTGCAATATACAAAAATTAACAATCCGAGGAAATAACTCTTGAATTTGAATAATATAAATCTGACTTTACTGTAATACAAAATTTGATATACCCAAAAGTAGCCAACTCAAATAGATCCGAAGTGTCTTACATAAAGTCGAACATAAAGTAAATTAAATGCTTTGTTAATTAGCGGGACCTTTTCCAATCCAGAAGGTATCTGAAGGTCCTGGATAGGTAACCTTAGACTGAAGTTGTACTTCGAGATGAATGCCGCCAAGTAATGGACGAAACAATTAAAGACATTAAACAAGTACAAATTGTGCACAACCCTTGTGCAGGTAAAGCGCATTTTGGTTAAACACTCCTACGAAATTTCTTTCATAAATAAGAAAGTTGGCACTGCACATCCTACACAAAACCAAATTTTGAAAATGGCGCTACATTTGCTTTTATTACAAGTGTATCAAATTTCATTTAAATCCCTCCATAAATAAGAAAGTGCATGCGCAAAACGAAATTTTGAAACTGGCGTTAAATTTGGTTTTATTCCAAGCGGCTATGTATCAAATTTTATTTAAATGCCCAATGGTTATATTTCATCCAAACGTCCCAATCGCCCTTTGTAGGCACTTTCCTTTGACAATTCACTCTTAAGATATAACGAATTATAACCGATCACGACAAGGGATCGAGGAGGAAGACTATGGTTAGTATACATGAATTCTTTTCGTTGAGACCTTTCATTAGAGTACCATGAAGGATAAAATTAGTTCCATTGCCCCCCCCCCCTTCCAACCCCTTCCTTTGATAAGGACTCAGAAAGTCAGCGGTAGTATACAAAACGGTTCCTTTCGTTGAGACTTTTAATTATAATACCATGAAAGATAAAATTAATTTCTACCCCCCCCCCCCCTTCATTTTCGAAAGTTTAACTTGCCACCACTACAGGCACGCGTATGCAAAATCTGAGACCATATGGTTGTCGTATGTAAAAGTTATGAACGTTCAAAAACAGCATGTTACGAAATAATTCATGCTCCCCCCCCCTCCCCTAAAGTGGCAGAGCACGTCGGAGTGACCCAACCCCCCTTCCCACTCCACCCCGTACTTTGATAAGAGGACAGAAAGAAGAGCAGTAGTTTGTAGAAAACTGTTCATTTCGTTGAGACCATTAATTAGAATACAATGAAAGATAAAATGAATTTTTACCTCCCCCCCCCCTGGCCCCCTCGCTCACTGATCTCGAAAAAGAGTCGCAGGGGAAAGTTATTATTATTATTATTATTAGTTTTTGTACAAACCAATTTATTTCGATGAGACCTTTCATTAGAATACCATGAAGGGTTAAAGGGTACAACATGTGTTTACCCCCCCCCCCCCCCTCCCCAAATTTTCTACAGTTTAACTTGGAACCACTAAAGGCATGCGTATCTTCTGCAAAATATTCGAGGATTCTAGGACCATTCCCCTAGAAGTAGTTCAAAACGGTAGATGTGGGTCCGGACGGACGGACAAAACGCAAACAATAGCACATTTTTTTTAATTCTTAAAAAATGCGCTAAAAAGGCAGATTCATACACAAAGAATTGAAGTCGCTAAACAAACTAAACGAGTTTAAACATCGGAACTGGGCAATATTAAACAAATCAAAATAAGGTTAAGAATTAAAGTAAAACAATTAAACAAATTCAAGGGTTACCTTCCCCTAGTTACAAATAGCTGAAGTCAAAACAGGTTACAATAAAACGAATAGTTACAATTAAAATTAAGTACATTTTGTTTTTTTCTTTAAATTCATCATAGCCTACTTGATTAAAATATAAAAACCGTTGATATAATGGGCATCTTATTTTCAATCTTATGCTATGATAGCTCGTTGAAAAGAGAATTAAAAAATGTATCAAATAATCTAAAAATCCAATATGGCGCCTATTTAACTTTAGGAAGTTGGTAAATGTTTCTCAAAGGTAGACATCTTGAATTTTTTTGACATCAATTCTAAATTAGGCGTATTAAAGACAGAACTTTTATATAAAACTTTTTTTTTATCTCTTATACTTTCGATAATATAAGACATTAAAGGAAATGACCAATTTTAGTTTTTTTGAATTTACGTCGAACCTATTCGCCATTTTAAATTTCCACAAGAAAATTTTAAATAAGCATCTAAAACTGCAAAACATTGTCCATTTAACCAATTCTCTATCTTTAATAATAAGAAAGTTACCCATGCAATCCCACCCGATCTGGGACACACTGTATATTGTACAATTCTAACCAGGGTTAGCGGTAGACAATCAACATGTTAATAGGTATGTCTGCGGTGGGTTGGTATAACAGATCCCTGTGTCATATTTGAGTGACGTTTGTCTCAATGACCACGCCCGATCCATACAATGCGCATGCGAAAGAGATGTCAAAGTTGCTTGATGAATTCAAAGAAGTTTTTCGCGTTGCATTTGTATTTAGTAATCGAAAATGTACATCTACTTATTACTCGTTAAAGTACACATTCGGATTCGGTAAATGTACGCTATAGGTACTTACAATTCAAAACTAATTTGTGCCCGCTCAAGCGTAATTAAAATGTTGACAGTTTGTCATTTAGAAGGTCCTATAATAGATGTCGATTCCACTTCAGTAGCAGAGAATAAGCGACATTCTGTTGTTACAAATAAAGCAAGTAGGTATGACGGGATTCTAAAGTAGTAGTAGAAAAATAAAATTCCGTCACGCAGGAGTTGTGCGCGTTTACAAGATCTTTGCGATGACACCCATTTGAAAACAATCAAACCAAAACTGTAGAAGATCGGAAAAAATTGAAAAATCACCACGTTAGTATAAATCGCTCGGGGATGGCGCCCAGATGTCGCAGATTTTAAAGCACGTAGCCCCGTCCCTAAAGTTGTTAATTACACAGCCCCGGTAGGTAGTACACTCCTTGTCTTTCTACGGCTCCGCATTTGCTGCCAGCCAGCGATTATATACAGGACGTGCTAACGTTAATTTACACTCCCTCGAATTATAATCATTTGTGCCATTGGGTTTAATCG